AAACATTTAGTACTTGTTGTTCTTTAGAAGCGAACAGTCTCAATGAGGAATAATAGCAAAATGTTTAATATGTTGGTATGTAGCTACTAAAAAGGTAGGCTAAATTAAAAATCATGTAAAGGCGAAACGATAATAGCAGGGGCAGCTTTTTAATAAAAACATAATTAAATATATAAGAGAAGTAAACAAAAAAGCATTTATGATTGACATTTTCATTCATCTACATTGTTGCAACGTTGCATTCAGAGAAATGTTTGTATTAATTACAAGATTCCTGCATTTTAACATGATTAATGTATCAGAACGTTTAAGTGAATTTAAATACAAATATATAATATCGAAAAATTTATGTTATGGACCCAAGTACATTAAGCCCCCCTTATTTATAAAAATCGAGTCAAGCGTTTTAAGTAACGCTCTCTATCTGTAAAATTGTATTTACGCTGCGGTAAAAAGAGACGGATAAACTTTTGTTAAAGCCTATTTTTTTTAATTACAGTGTGGCGGCCTGAGATAAAATCACTGAATCACTGAATTTGTACGTAATTGACGTCTGTTCACGTGATCAATTCCATACAAATTCATTTGCCTCCCCCAAAAGGGTTAAAAAATTCTAAACCACGAATAAAATGGAAATTTAGGACCTTATTTTGTATTTAAATCTTATTCAAATAGTCCATAAACTATAATAATAGTTCTATCCTTTTTATCTGTGGTTCAGCGTTTGTTGTCTATTTAAATAGTACATTGCACTTCCTCAGTACAGCATAACGCGGTCCCAAGTGTCCGAATAGCTGTATTCGCGGTTCCCGGTGCTATGCGTTCTATCTTCTTTGAGCTCGCCGCGCCCGAATGCCCGCGAAGGTATGCCATTGCATACCGCCGACCGCTGACGAAACGGTGGGAACTTGGGGACTTTTTATTCTGAATTTATTTTCGGAATTTGTAATTGTTTCACTAGTAACAAAAAACATTTCCGTCCGTCATTTTCAAAATTTTAAAAATTCAAATTCATAACTCTATTTAATATTCAAAATGTAATTTTTTTAGTGGTATTCAATATTTTTTGAATTCGATTAGTAATTATTATATAAATAATGATTACGCGTAGAATAATATTTACATATATTAATAAATAAATTGATTCATGCACTTCACTTCTTGCAAACGTTGCAACTTCTTCACTTGCAAACCTCCTGGTGTTGCGGATGTCCATGGCTGGTGTACACTTAAAGAAAAGCTGCCTTCTTGCCTCCAAGCGCGTTCTGGCTTCTAAAGTGTGCCGCATTTCGTAGTATACAAAGGAATTACTAATCTTTGAATATTTAATAAAAAAAGGCGTGAAAATGCTTCATTTGTGAAAATTCCTTACAAAAGTGAAATGTTTTTTTCGTTGATCCTTTGATTTAACTATTCATTTATTAATTAGTTCCAAATAGAGAATAAAATGCCCTTTTGAGAGTAATTAAATAAAAAACCACGAGTTTTACTAAGTATTTAAATATTTCAAAACCTTGTTGTTCTCTTTACTAAGATTTCTTATACAAATAAAACTCATATAAATATTACGATGGATTTTTGTATGGAAACGTATTAAGCGCTTCGCTTGGAACTAATCTTGTATATAGCTGATGTTCGAGCTGTCAATAAAAACACTAACTATTTAATATATAAAATTCTCGTGTCACAGTTTTCGTTGCCATACTCCTCCGAAACGGCTTGACCGATTCTCATGAAATTTTGGTGCTGTTGGGTATGTCTGTGAATTGGACAACATCTATTTTTCATCCCCCTAAATGTTAAGGGTAGTCCACCCCCTTTTTTTTTTAATTTTTAGATAAATTATGAAAAAAAAAAATTATATATAATTTTTATTAATTTATTAATTATTATTTTTTTATGATACAGCATTAAAAATACATACAACCCCTAATTTTCACCCCTCTACGATCAACCCCTATTTTTTATTATAAATGATAAACATGGCAAAACGACGTTTGCCGGATCAGCTAGTAACTATATAATATTATAATTGTCATCGTATTGACATATACATATACTTGGCAAAAATAAACGCGCGGTGGTGGTTTCCCATTTACAGCAAACATTGTATTGTACAAAGTTTGGTAACATAGTTCTTTAACCACTAAAATTAATCGAATTGAAGTGAGGTAATATAAAATAGAATACCAATAGCGTGTTGGGGAGGTTAACGCGTTGACCCGCGTAATAGGGGTGGGGTCATACTAGTGATGCGCTAGTTTAATGTCGATAAACGACTAGTTTCAAACCCCTTCCGAATTGCCTTATGATAATCGTCTTCTGATGATGATAGTCGACGTCTGTCTTGTAATTTTTTAAACAGATTTAAAAAGTTTGGTCCCTGTGGCAGTGTACCTTTATTGCTGGCAGAATTTCCTGTATAGTGATACTTATTCGTTGAGCGACGAAAGGTCCAGCTCTGGGGTCATTGGTTCTATCTACCAGTGGATAACTTGAATCCAAAATTTTTAATTATTATTATTATTACTATGTACTCTGTATATGTGTAATAACTACTGAAATCTATATGACAGTTAAAAAAAAATTACATTAAGATATATAAGTTTTTGATATAATTAAGCGATCACCAGCAAATTTTTCATATAAAAATAAATCAGTGGCGCTACAACCTTTTTAGATCTGGGTCTCCGATTTCTGTATTTGTTTTATGATCATTTGTCAGTCTAATAAGCAAGTAGGTGTTCAGCCTCCTGTGCCTGACACACGCCGTCTTCTTGGCTCTAAGGCAAGTTTTTCTCACGATGTTTTCCATCGTACGAGCGAATGTTAAATGAACACAGAAAGTCCATTGGTGCACAGCCGGGGATCGAACCTACGACCTCAGGGATGAGAGTAGTATTTATTATTTAAATTTAAAGCCTTAAAAGTTCAGATTTATAAATTCTTTGCAATATGTTTATTTCATGAGCACTTAATAACTTCATTATGTCACTTCGATTCAAACATAACTGGATTTTACAATAATGTAAACAGTAATTAATTATATTTTTGGTAGCTGTTATCATTTTGTATTTTTATTTCCAGACTAATGAATGAAGTCCGAAATAATGAATATTATTAATAGTCTTAAGGAAATACTTGTTTTTGCTTCTCAAATCTCTGTCTCAAATCACAATACATGTATGTATAATTGGTAAAATTCTCACTTAAACTTGTCCCCGTATTTTTTAATTCTGGTCCATTATAATATTTAAAACAACTTAACCATTTTCGGAGTGATCGTCCTTTACGAGTTCATGTTTACAGACTGTCACGTTTTTAAATAAACATAATATATGTACGTGAAATTCATACCCATTGATTAAAATACCGCGCGACTAGTTAGCCTTACATAACATATAATTATCGCCGTGAATCTTGCTTAAATTGTTATTTTCATCACGTTTTTGTTTCGTTAATATGGAGTTTATTTTGAAACGACTGTCATCGCGCCTTACCCGACCCATTGAATGTTTCTGACGATGCATTAATTATCTTAATTATTATTTTAAGTACGGCTAAAGTGTCCGTGCTAACGTGCCACTTTTGAAGTGCACCGGTTATTTACATTAATAATTAAAAACGCAATAAATACAGTTTATCAATTAAGTATTTAGGAGAGGCTCAAGTTTTTGCCGATCAAGGTTGTTGTTAATTAAAATTAAGTATTATTTTTATTATTTCGCTGGTAAAATATTAGCAACGAGCTGGCAGTAACGAGGCGTACGTGAGTTACAGTTACAGTAAAAAAAATCTCGGAACTAGAAATATTATTGTACGGTATTGTTACTTATGATTACGATTTTGTATTGTTAAATATACATAAGATGTTTTATAGAAAACATGTTAGCAACAACAAGTTTCTTAACGCGTGCTTTTAATTTTTTATTCCTTCCATGTCTGCACATAGACAACTCCATAAAGCAATCGATAAATAGATTGACACAGCACATCACTATTCACCGAAGCTCCGCCCAAGCTTATGGCGTACCCTATGCGTGAGAGGTGAAAATCCTGCCTTTACCAACAAAATTCACAACTAACACCTTTAAATATATTGCTTTAACTGAGGGTGACAAGTAGCTTATAAAATCTTACTATATTCGAATCTTACCAATGATTTACAATAGTAGACGTAATTGCTACGTATCGTATTTTCGGTTAAAATTATATTTTTCAATCTTTCAAGATCAAGAAAATATTAAAACATATAAATATCAAAAAAAGGAAAAATTACAATATTATTAAGTCCAACAGTAGTTGCAATATTCTTAAATAACATTTAATAATGAGATAATAATTTAAAATTAAAACAAATTTAAAAAGTATTGCGTACCTGTTGCAGAGTATACGTCGTCTTCTACGTCATTTACTCACCGAAATAACATTATTTTATCAGAAATCAAACCAAGTGTATGCATGTACATAAGATAGTTAAGATACAATACATATTTTATTCAAATAATAGGTTTCTGTATGTTATTATAAATGACCTTATAACCGATCCGGCATTTTTGCACTGATAATTATTATGAGGAAAAAATATCTAATATGCCAAGTAAATTGTTCTTGTTGTTAGACACGACGTACTTCATTGTGAAGATAATATTCAAAACGCATAATTAGTAGAAAATATCAGAGATAGCAATGAAAGTATGTATTTAGTAAATTATTCAGACCGTACTTTAATATTTTAAGAATTTCGTGCATATGTCGCTAATCGCATGTGTAAACTCTTCTATAAAAACATGTTTCCCGCCATTTGTAGATACGTTTAGTAGTACCCAAAAGTAAAAATAAAAAGTCACTTTCCTTAGCAACTAATATTACTTTTCGTTAGAAACCGTAGTTACGTAAACTGTTACACTGGTATGGAGATTTTTTAAATAAACTAATAGTGTCTTGTTTATCAATAGGTGAAGATCTGGTTCCAAAACCGAAGAAGCAAATACAAGAAGATGATGAAAGCCGCCCAAGTGGGAGCACCCCCGCCCAACCTCGGCCTCCCGCCCGGCAGTCCGCCTAACAACAACCAGTTGTTACATGGTCAGTATATGGAAAAGAAATTCCAAGGTATAATATCCATACTTGTTTTATTTTTTCTAGTTTTTTGTATTCCTTTTTTTTGATCACATTTTAAAGCATATAGCCCGTCACAGACTTGCTATATATATATGTATTAATATTTTTTGGCGGCATATTTAGATATTTTCTATACTAATTTTCGCGTGACCGCACACTCAGCTATAATATATATTTCTGCGCACCAAGCGATACCATAATATACATTATTGCATATTACTATATATTATGGTATAGCGAACACTAGGACGACCATCAATTAAATGAAGGCAAAATATATATTTCTAAGTGTGTGGTAGTATATATATATTATAGTACGGTATATTAATATATATTATAGCTAAGTCTGTGACGGGCTAATTGCAAGGTTTTTGATAAAGCAATTAACTTTAAATTTAATTCTTTAATTTAATTTAATTAACTCTCAATAAACAAACAAAAAAATTAACATTAGCTGTGGTATTTTAAAAGGAAAATGTTCAATACTGATAACACTATCTTTTTTATCATTCCCAGGTGGTGGAGGCAGCTCTAGTGGCTCCCAGCACTCTCCTTCAGCGTACCAAAGTGGACCAACACAGGCCCACAGTCCGACGCCCAGTTCTACTCCAGTTTCAGAGTTATCCCCTGGTTTGTCTCCAACGGGGACTCCTTGGGACGTTAAACAGCCCCCACAGCAGTCGTGGGACGTAAAGGTTGGATATGTAAGAGAATTTCTGAAGTTTTAGTACACAATTCTTTTTTTACAAAAGTATATTTGTTTTTACGAGTATTAGTCACATGAATTGGTCAATTCTTATATTATTTGTATGGTATATATCATATCATAGTTGTTCAATTCTTATATCAACTACAGTGTCTCAGCAAATAATCATTTGACACTTTAATCGTCCAAAGTACAAGCGGCTTAAGTTTTGCCCCCTTTTAAATTATTGTAAACCTTAATTGCCTTAAAAAGGTGCTTTTCCTACACAGTTCCAGATTGATTTTTGGCACAGCCAATTTCTCCCCATGTCTACTTCGACAGATGTTCATTCCCGTTGACTTAAAAATATGTATGTTTCTGTGAACGAATAAGGACATTTCTCAAATATACATACAGGGAGGAGATACTATTTCTTTCCATTTCAAATTTAGATTTCATTCTGTCTTTTTCTCAACGCTCTCACCTCTCAAAGCCTTTGCCTCCATAGTAAATACGAGTTCTTTACATTATGTTATTGTTTTAGCCTAACTCGGGGCGGTCGCCGGACGGCAGCTGTGATGTAAAACCACACCAACAATCGTGGGATCCCAGGGTCGGTTATGTAAGTACAAATATTACTGTTTAAACCTTTTTTTAATGGAATCTCGCTGTTGGCCTTGGCGAGCGTAGCTAGGTCGGAATTGAATACTGAAGTATTTCCGAACCAATTCAGTATCGCACTCACCAGCCCTCTGGCATTGAGAGTGTCCATGGGCGGCGGGCATCCTACATCGGGTGAGCCTACTGCCCGTTTCCTCCAGTTCTATAAAAAAGGGGGTGTACTTATGTCGCGTGTAAGTTATACTTCTTTGGCATATTAAAAATAGTTTTTCATATGTATGCAAATAATTAATTATAATTAAATAATCAAAGACTGGAAAAGGAGTCATTATAGTCAATAAAGTTCAGTTTCATTTAAAAATTAATAAATATTAATTATCATTCTCTTACATTAAGCGTAACCTAAATTCTATTATTATTCGAGATGTTGTTTTTAAATTTGTCCAATGCCGTAGCGGCTCCTGGGCAACTTCATTCTCTAATTTTTCACGGTTCGCCCGCATCGTAAAATTCTCTTCAATTTTTCATAACGCGCCTAAAGAAGTATAACTTTAAAAACTTAAAACTCGGCATATAAATAATGCGTGCGTTTTGTGGAATAGGAGCGCAGTGGTATAGGTATTTGTAAAAAACCACGATTACTATGTATTTTTTTTTTCATGGACGCATTAATTATAAGATGAGAGAAATTTGCGAATACATTTTTGACCTTACAAAAGCCCTCCGCATATCTAACGATTTGACATTTTTAAGTAAATCATACCTTCTCTTTAATTATGCATAACAATAATGAAGTAAAGCCATCGTATTTTTAATTCACTTAACTAAAATTTAATTAATTTTATACTTCAAATAGTGGAACCTTCTAATCGTAAAAGTAGCTTTTTCCAAATGAAATAAATACCGTGAGTTTAATTTAGATAAATGCTTCATGACTCGCCCTTACCACACCCTTCGTAAACATATAACTATGTTATAGAGCTTAATCGTTTTGATAGGTAATATAATGCATAGTTGTTTCTAACCGTCTAAAAATTCGAAGGACTGAGGTAGGAGAACTGAGCAATATACTAGAATTATGACAGAAGGAGAATACTAAACTTCAGTAAGTTAACATAAACATCACTAGAAACAAACAAATAATATAACAGTAACAGATTAAATAACAAAAAAAATAACAACTAAATTTTATACGTAGTATATACAAGTATAGAATATAGTAAATTGTCTTAGTCAATATATTAATAATTAAATAAGGAAAATCTAATTAATATTAATAATATCTAATTAATATAAAAAATAAATGACTAAATAAATAAAATTTAAGTTGGCACCTCGCTCAACGAATATATAATTATCGCAATACAGCGAGGAAATTCTGCCAGCCACAGGGACCAAACTTTTTAAATTTGTTTTAATTTTATATTTATCAATTTAGAGTATTATTATTATTCCTATGTAGGTTGAGAATATTGTAAATTCTGTATATTTGTGTGTTTGAAATAAGTTTCGTAGATTGAATTTCCTGAAACATCAATGGTCTTTATGTAACCGCACAAAGTTAGAGGACAGATCGATTTCGCCCTAAGCAAAAAATCTAAATATGCCCATTTCTTAAATTTATTAAAAGGCAGAGATAAAAGAACCTCTGGGATTTTATTAAAGAAGAGTATTCCTTTTCCCAAAAAAGAATTACTAAGTTTAGATAGGCTAGTACGGTGAAATTGCAGCCTGCGTTTGTTTTGAGTATTAACATTGTGCGTATGTTCTATTCTAGTAAACTTATCACTATTTTTGTATACATACATAATATTTTCATAAATATATTGCGAGGGAAAGGTTTGTTTACTTAATATTGTTTATACTTATGGTACATTTCGCTAATCTAAATAGCACGGGCTTTGGTATGGGATGCTACTTGTGTGTACACGTTAGCTCCGTCTTACCTCCCTCGGACAAGCACAATAGCTGGCGCGGCCGAGATAAGATTCTTTCCTCCAAACTTTAATTTTGTTCCTCGGTGTATTGCGATACTTATTCGTTTAAGCGAGGAAAGCACCAGCTCTGGGGTCACCATATACCAACATAAATATGTTATAGATAAATTTGATTTGTTTAGACGCTTCAAAAGGTTAATAAGGGAATAGAAAACGTTGCTTTTAACACCTAAACAATAGAACCATTGTTAAATAGAATGAAATTTTAAAAATTTGTCGTTTTGTGAATAATGTACAATGTAAGACTTGAGGGCACTTAGAAATGTGGGACGGGGACTCGTAACTACTTTAGCCCTAAAAGTTCAAGCAGCTATTATCCAACTGACTTTAAAGCCGGTTGCAGACCGAAAACTAAGCTATGCCAAGGCTAAACTAAGCTATGCCAAGCAAGCTAGGCTAAGCTAAGCTAGAAATAAATAGCGTGCACACCAACAGCTAACCCAAAGCTCAGTCAGTGTTGCATAGTATGTGCAAAGGGTGTGCGGGGTAGCGCGAGGGGCTTAGCTTAGCTCGTGTAGCTGCGCATCGGCATACACAACTAACTTAGCTTCGCATATTTTAGTTAGCTCACATAGCTTAGTTCGCATAGTTTGCGGTCTGCACAGACGTATGGAAAATTGCGTCAGCTATGCGAGCTAAGCTAAACTAACGTAGCTTAGCTCTTGGTCTGCAACGCGTATAAGATATACGTCCGACGCAACGGAACTTTGACTATAAATGAATGAACTCTTTATTTCAAACAACCAAATTCTTACACCTTATAATCATATGAATTCTATGAAATAAAATATGAATTCTTAAAAGACCGGTAGCACGCTTGCCTTCTGGCAGTGCTAGTGTCCATGGGCGGCGGTATAACTTAACATCAGATGTACCTCCTGCCCGTTTGCCTCCTGTAACATAAAAATAAATCTACTCAATCTTCCTCGATGTTTGCTTGTCTTCTGACATAGGCCGCCTCCAGAATAAAAAAAAAAACTTTGGTTAGGATACTTGACTGCTGTTAATGAGGTCTCAGAGCAGTGTTGGCCTAGTGGCTTCAGCGTGCGACTCTCATCCCTGAGGTCGTAGGTTCGATCTCCGGCTGTGCACCAATTGACTTTTTTTCTATGTGCGCATTTAACATTCGCTCGAACGGTAAAGGAAAACATCGTGAGGAAACCGACAGGTCTTAGACCCAAAAAGTCGACGTTGAGTGTCAGGCACTGGAGGCTGATCACCAATTTGCCTATTAGATTAACAAATGATCATGAAACAGATACAGAAACCTGAGGGCAAGACCTAAAGTGGTTGTAGCGCCTCCTATTTATTTATTTTTTATATTATTGTCATGTATTTTAAATTAGTTAGCTTGGAACATACACTGTTAACAGTGCAGTATATAATATGATGAGTTGTACTTTAATAAAGAAATGATTTCAATGGTGGTGAGGTTTTGAACAGTCCAGGATAAAGAAAGCTCACATTATACTGCTGTGAGTTGGATATCCAATTACTATTATTTATTACAAATTACATTTGTGTGTATAGCCACATATATACATAGCCATTAGCCAGTCTTAATAGATGTAAGCGTTAGTCCGCCTGGAAGTTATAATAATAAATATTATCACACAGGGTGCGCCTGGAGGTCCATGGGACATGAAGGGTGCGCACGCACATGCTTTGCATCATCAGGCGGCGCCGCAGCCGCATCCACCCTACGTGCCGCAGTACTCCTGGTACCAACCTGAAGCCAACCCAGGATTACTGACGTAAGTATTCAACAGGACATGTATATTTTTAAATTAGCTTCACAAAACGATCACGAACTAAACCATACCTTATAAAAATAAATAAATACATTTAATTTTTGTAATGTTAAAAATAAATAAATAAAAATCAAATGAAAATATAAAGTACTCATTATTTTTCCGCTGTGATTATAAAAATAAATAAATACATTTAATTTTCACCTTGCTTTTGCCTCCAAAACGGACGAATTTTTTTTCACCTATAACTATTGAATAAAGGTAGTTTAAATTTCGAACAGGCAGTATTGAAAATTAAAATCTAAATTTTATATAGGTATAATAAACAAATTATTATTTACAGTGAAAACGGCCTAGCCTTATTTCATCGGATGGGCTTGAGGAGCCAATTTCTAGGACCAAATGAACAAAGCTATGACAGCTGAAGCTCTGTTTAGGCCTATTTATTGAGCTGAGGAACAGAGCAGACAATCCAAATTAATATAGAAACATTCCAAAAAGGAAATTCGAATCGCTAAATTGACAGAATATGTCAGATATCATTTCGAAATAGATAAAGATTTATATAAACAGACAATTTGTACTGTTCGACCGTTTCGTTGCTCAGTTTCTTGTTATTAAGTGGCTTCATGTTAGAATTTTCCTTGGTGTGACATTACACATAACAGTATATGTTACTGTTGCCATGACAACGGTGATAACTGGTATTGTGTGAAACTGTCACATCAAAGACATAATTACCAATTTCAATAACTTTTTATTAGTAAAATCGACAAACCCTCCTTTGTCTACCGAACGGATTTTTACAGGGTTTAATTCTGTAAATATAGCTGAATTTTTGTATAGTTATTGAAAATGGTTATTAAAATTTAATTTAGTTAAACTTTTACAATGGCACACATTCAATAATAATATTTTTGGTTGTAATTTTTTCAATAATAATAAACATATGGGGATTCGTATAGTAATCAAATTATTAATTCAAAAAATTATTTGTCAACAGGGTCTGGCCTGCGGTCTAACATCGTTGGGTAAAAGAAAATTGAGAAAAGTGGAAAACAACCTTTATTGCCACAGATTATGTATGCCATTGTAATCGTTTTATACAGGCAATGTTTAAATGTATAGTTTATATTATTTTATTAGGCGTGCAATAATGTACATATTAATATAAATTCCCATTTTATTTGCATCTTGCTAAGTACCTTGTAATGGACAATTTTTCATAATGGGCCTACAGCAAAACTGATAAAATAAAATTATATGACAAATGAAGGTATTCGAAAAAAAAATTACAAAAATTTCAAATTACCGCAAATATTTTTTTAATTTTGCTGTTACTAAAGAGTTTTAACACCAGATATTTCTTGGGATTGTTTTTATATTTTTTGATTATAAGTTTATTTTTTGGGACGAAAATTTTTGCTATTTATCATGTTTTGTATGCAATTAATCTTTTTACACATAACCAAAAATAATCTAATTCCTATATAATTTATTCTTGATTTTCCGGTTAATAAGGAAAATACATTAAAATTGTAGGCCCTAAAAGACAAGTTTCCTATGTATAATTGTCCAAACTAAAAATTTGTACTAAAAGCAACAGACCTTGCAACGTTAGAAATTGCGCATGCGCATTATTTCAGTTTGTTGTGAGAATTCACGAAGACCAAAATTCGCTTCAATTTTAAAATGTCGTAATGACAACGCACACGTATTTTTAAAAGTTAACCTTATTTTAATTGAAAAAACTATTTTAAGCTTTAAAACATTCATCTAGATACTAAAACGTCAGAGCCAAACACTTGCAAAATACTTTGAGAGGAAAGCTTTCTCAAAAAAAAAACTTATTTAGATTACAAAGGAGCACTCCGTATCTCCCAATAGCGATTCTTTTTAATAATTCTACCAAAGTTTTGTACCATTAAAATGGTTCTATTATTGAACGAACTATATCGAAGTTGGTTTTATTTCAGAACCACTTCGACTTAGGCTCATAAAAAAAGCGTACCTACCAATTCTAGCAATATTAAGAGTCAACATTAGATGAGCCTCCTGCCCGTTTGCCTCCTGTTACACAAAAAAAAATTCAAGACAATTGAATTCAAGACTATCGTGGTCGATATTGGGAGTTATCGAGAACCAACTTGTTCAGACTAAAAAATTAAACGGAAAAGCGATTTTGGGGTGTGCATCAGTCATCACTAAAGCCGAGTAAGCAGAATATTTAAACTCTGACTTCTTAAATAAAAAACTTACATTTGAATGGCATAGTATAATTGTTTTATATTTGGTATACAGTGGGTGCAGGCCCCAAATTCGCCCTTGGAATGGCTAGACAATTAAAATAGGGCTCTGTTAACGTTTTAGTACATGACTTATTTATTAGTAAAACAGAAAAGAAACCATTCTGTTGTGATATAATTTTAAGCTATTTCTTGTGAAATTATCCGAAGTATAGTTTATTTGGGCAACTTGTAACTAAATCCTACTACGCTGTTTTAACAAATGTCTAAACAAATTGTGTTTACTGTGAAAGGAATAAGACAGATAACAGCAATATAAAATGGGTGTTGCATGATAGAAAATATTTATTTGCTGATGACAACAACTTAAAAGATAGACAATATATAGGCCACTGAATGTCAGTGTCGCTGTTGACAGCAAGTTAGAAGATAGAAAAAACATGGGCCTACTAAAAGTCAGTATTGCTGTTTACAGCAAGGTAGAAGATAGAAAATATACAGGCCCACTGAATATCAGTGTTGCTGTTGACAGCAAGTTAAAAGATAGAAAAGACGGGCCAACTTAAAGTCAGTATTGCTGTTGACAGCAAGTTTAAAGATAGAAAATATATAGCACACTGAATGTCAGTGTTGCTGACGACAGCAATTCAAAGCAACTTAGGCCCATAAACATTATTGTGTTTTTGTATTATTTGTGTTACTTTAATCAAATAAAGCATTTTTATTTTAAATAGAAATGACCAGTATATATATCAGTTAAAACAGTGCAATTAGATTTAGTTTCGATGACTTAGCGCGTACTATGACTAAAACGTTATGTATTTTGACAAACGGGAGACATACTTAGCGCTAAGTCTCGACTCAGCCAAGAGCTTTAGACGCTTTATTTTGTCCTATTTGAGCGTATAGGCACATGTATTATATTTAAAACATATGTCAAATTACAATCTGGTCTAAAGCTCATACTTACGAGGGAAAATGTGTTGCCCAAAGACACTGCTTTCGCACAAAAATTGTTGAGAACCGATAATAATGTACTTTTTCTTTTATACTAAAATCAATTCATTTATTTTATTAGTATTTAAACAAAAAGTTAAATATTTAGTAAATTTTAGTTGAAATAACTGAATTGGTTTCAGTTGGGTCTTTACGGGAAGAATGTAAATATTTTTTGTAAAATATAGAATATACATATAACTATAGATAGATTAATTACATCATAATTACAATGTATTATAAGGAAAGTGGAACTAAGAAAAAGTGAATTAATTTTTTTTGTCAAATAAAAATGGAAAAGATTGACTTTGTGTTTTATTTTATTTCCAAAGATAATTGCCAAATGAATTCAGTGAAAAACTAGTTACCAATTAGCCGCACGGTACAAAGTGCGAAAAACCATAAAAAATATTTTACCGGAACAAGTACACTAAAGTACCTATTCAGTTTTTTAAAGGCCGGCAACACAATTGCGAGCCCTCTGGCAATGTGAGTATCTATCGGTATCAGATAACATCAGCCCCCCTGGTCCTTAAAAAAAATAAATGTTTAGAAAGTAGATAGTCATCCAGAAAGATTTTTTTGCTTGATGCAAATTTGCGTGGTAATGATACATGTATCTTATGTTCCTTAATAAAAATATTTTTTTTTAGTTTAGAGGGAATAGAACGTTGAATCAAATCTATTAATAAATCCCGAATAACCAATAATTTTAGTATTAGAAACCCAACTGAATGCTAAATGGTTTGTAAAACATCATAAAGAAAGCAAAAACAAGCCCCGTAATGTTATGTCTACCACAAGCTCCCTCTATATAACCAGAGGGAATCCAGATACTGATATTTACGCGGCATGGGTTCTCCGTCTATTTGCAAAGATCTAAGTGCAAGGAGAGTGCAACGTGGGATGTGACGGAACGACTACCGACACCAGACAACTTGTTGGCGGACTGCTCAAGGTATTAAAACTGTAGGCACGTAGGTTATTATGGAGAGCAGAGAAGGGGTTTAAGTGACTAGATAGACTTGAAACATTAAATAAAAGCTATAGAATTTTGTTGCTGCATACAGGTCGTAAAGATTGTGGTGAACAAAGCGTTAACAGTTGGAAACCAATATACCTAAACAAGGGCTCTTCCTATTCGGAAGAGGAGAGTCGAGCGGTTGCTCCTCGACCTTGGAGGCCAAGCTGTCATGAAACGGCTTTCAATAAAATAACCACAAGCTCCTCAAAAAAAAAGCTCAAATTCTGTACAAATATCTACCCCATATAACAGATTTTATTGTTTCGTTGGGAGCCCCCATAAGTAACAGTCGAGACTGAGAGTAAAATGAGTAGAAATGAGACAGCGTCTGACTCCCGAACGTCAAAAATCTATAAGTTACTAATCGTTTAATATTAATTTAATTATTATTACTTATCAAACAATTTGATAAGTATTCCAAAAGTCTTTAAATGTCACAATGATTTTTATAGTATTGTCTTTGATTTACATAACCTTTACACATTTAAAGAAAAAACTGTTTAACCGGATTGAAGTGACGGTGTCACCGTGACCACGCACGCTGTAAAGCACGCGAAACGTCGGATAAATTTAAAATTATGTTAAATAGTTGTAAATTTATAATAAATAATACATAACTTCAATCCGGTTAAACAGTTTTTTCTTCAAATGATTTTTATAATAAAACATGATGTAACTTTAACCATTATTCACTATACAATAAAATAGATATTAAAAGGTTCACATAATAAGCTGTTAAATCACAGAATTAATTTCATGCACACTGTGAGTAGTGTTATTAGACACTTTATGTTAAATATCCTTTTTAGTAAATTAGGATAGTTTTAAATTAAATTAAGTTTCGCGTAGGCTAGATCGTAATGTTAATTGTGTCTTTGTGCAAAGTCAATTTATAAAATGAAAGAAATTTATGCAGTGCTTAATTTCAAATAGACAAAATATACGAATGTGAATTTATTAACCTTACTAACACTTGTAAAAGTACCAAAATTTTAAAATAATTATTAATTCTTAATATCGCTGTTGTCCGAGCATTCGTTCGTTGGTTCCTTGCAAGATTAAAAGGCGAGGTATTTTTATATATTTTGCACTGATTATCTATCTTCCCATATGCCAGTCTATCACTAAACAATAAACTTTTATATGACAACAGCTTAAC